AATTAGTGGCCTGTAGTGGTCTAAGAAGTCATGGAGGTTATGTTTATGGCAAGGTGTTCACAGAGTAGGATTCAAAAGGAATTGGGGGTTGGGGAGCAGGAAGACAGACAAATTTTCTTTTCCTTAACAGTGTGGTTAAATTGACTATAATCCACTCTTGCACATCATAATGTTTCAGTCAATGGTGAATCCCTCAAAATTATAATAATATGTTTTTACCGTACCTTTTCCATGTTTAGATATACAAATAATATTGTGTTACAGTTGCCCATAGTCAGTATTCAGTACAGTAACATGTTGCACGGGTTTGCAGCCTAGGAACAAGAAGCTATTCCATACGATGTAGTACTATCTAGGTTTGTGTAAATACAATCTATGATCTTTATATAGTCTATGATCTTTACACAATGATAAAATTGCCTAACAACGTATTTCTCAGAACTCATCCCCATCATTAAGTGACATGACTGTATATTCCTTCTTTTCTCAAGTCTCAGATTTGAAGTAATTTATGAAGTTAATAAACGATAAGATCCAAATAAGGAGGGGCAAAAATACGCTGATCATAGGGGTTTATACAATTACTGTGATTGTGTAACACTTGGCTTTGAGCTTCCTGGCAGCTGGGACAAAAAGAAACAACCTGTATCTGTCAGGTTTAAGTATCTTCTGGGAGACAGACATTGTCTCAGAAATAAAGAAGCCCCTTAGGATTCCTGAGAGAGCTCACAGAATGAGGAATTTGGAAAAGAAAAGGTAGTGAAACTGAGAAATGGGGAAAAGAGAGAGAAGGGTACGAAGATAAGGGTTTCTGAGTCCAGGTTGTCTTCAAGAGGCTGCCTCCTCAGGGCACGTGGAGCCATTCTAGACTTCTAAACGTCTGAAGTGTTTTAGGAACACAGAATGCTCCTTTGATGACATTACACAACCTCAGAGTGGGCAAGGAGAGGGCGTCAGGAGATCAAAGGTCAGCCTGACTTGTGCTCCTGCCTACACCCACGCTGTCTCCAGGCCAGCCTGCTGGCCAAGTGAGGCACCTGCCCTGTTCCTCTGTCCACTTATTCTCTTCCCTGTTTCAAGACCTGTCCCTTTTGCCCTGTTTCTCAAATGGCAGTCTCAGCTCCAAGGAGGCTGTTTACACATCTGTGAGTCATTTCCCACTTTCCTTTTCCGCTAAAGCTCTATGTGGACCTATCTACTGCTACATTGGAGTAAATCACTGATAAATGGTTTAGAGGGCTATGGTGGTTCCAAGTGTTCAGATGTTACACTTGGAATTATTATTTCAAAGCTGAAAGGGGTAAAGTAACTGCTTAAGGGAATATATATATATACACACACATATATTTGACTAGTAATGATAACAAATCAAAGTGATACACAATGCATACATTACTTAAAGCCTCTGGATGTAAACTGTTCTGAAAAAGTATGTGCAACATGAATTCTTGAGACATAAAACATTATAATCCCATTAGGGAACTCCTTAGAACCCTGCAGTGATCCCTTTCTTAAAAAAGACTCCTCTGCAACATCAATAAGGAATCCCCCTAATGGATCTGCTTATTACCTGGGCTTCCAACTCTGCTCCTTGGAAGCCCAGGGTGCACCACCAGTGCCTGAGGAGCTCCCATTTCTGCAGCCCCACTTTTGCATGAGATGTCATGTGCTGGGGATGGGGAGAGGCAGGTGGTAGCATGAAGATTCTAAAATAGGGAACATGTGTAGAACATGCTTTGAGTTGCTTCCCTTACTAATGGTAGATATTTGGTAAATTCTTCATTGTTTGGCCCATTTTCTTTGGGGCTACCAGCAAAATACACCTCTGGGAAGCTAACTGTGGTTTAGGATACAGTCTGTGCCTTTCACTGCTTTGGGATTGGAAGCTAGCAACACATCATAGTGAGAATCATGCTCTTCTGCATCCACTGCAAGGGCCAGTTGGCCAAGGTCTCTGGAGAGGAGGCTGCACACTTCAATGCGGGTGGGTAAAGAGCCCATGTGTATGAGGTCAGTGGGAATGCCAGGGCAGAAGCCTCCCCTCCCACTGCCCAACATCCACTTCCCTGTTTTCACATGTCTTCTAGAAACCAACGACCTCCACACACTCTCTCCAACCCTGATCCTCCACCAGCTCCAGACTGACTGCTTACTGCCCATCTAGCGTCTTTGCTTGCACATAATTTTAGTGGCAGTTTGACTTGAACATAAGCCTTGATTTCTCCTCCAAAATCCATTTCTCCTCAGACTTTCCTAATCAATAACTGGCACCAGTGATCCCCAAGCTGCTCTGGCTAAGACTGTGAAAAGTACACTCTCCAATCTCTCTCCATTCTGTCAGTTCTGAACTGTGTTCTCAGGCCTGGCTTGAGAGGGAAATGTGAGGGAAACGTGGGGGCTCTAATGCATTCAAATACCCAGGGCCCTGTCCCCAGGCCAATTATAGTGGTCTCTGGGGGTGAAACCCAGCCATCAGTATTTTTAAACAGCTCTCTGAGATGGTACAGAAAGGCTTGGAAATGAGTAGTTTAAAACAGATGCCAAATCCAACAGCTTCTCTCTGGTTTCACTGCTCCCACTTTGGTCCGAGCCGCTACCATGTCTTGCCTGGACCACTGCAATACCTCTAGTCCTCTGCTTCTATTCATTACACCTTGTACCTCCATTGCAAGCACACTGCAAATCAGATTACACTCTGTCTCTCTGATGGCTGCCAGCTGCACTTAGAATAAGCGAGGCCTCTCATGACGCCTACCAGGCCCTGCACATCTGGCTTCTGAGGCCCTCTTCACCTCTTCTAACCACTCTTACTCTCCCCTCCGCAACCATATTTTCATCACCCTGGTCCTAGGCCTGTTTCTCAGATGTGCTAAGCACGCTTCTGCCTCTGGGCCTTTGAATGTACTCTTTCCTCTGCCCTTGGAACTTCATTTGCCTGGCTTGTAGCTTCATGTCATTCATGTCAGCTCAAAAGGCACCACCTCAGAGATGCCTTCTTAGACCACCTTGACCTAAAGTAGTCCTCCTTTGCCCCAGAAAAGTCACCAGCACATCATCTTGGTCACTTTATCTTAATGTCTTTAAAGCACTCATCACTTTCCAAAATACCCTGCTCAATCATGTCCTTATTACCTGACCCTGTCACTACAAAGTGAGCTTCACGACGGCAGGAATTTGTATCTGTCTTGCTCATAGCTGTAGCCATTGCTCAGAAAGGAATCTCTCACAGAATGGGCACTGAGGAAACATGGCCATTCATTTTATTTTCACACCAAGTGCCACTCCTCCTCACTACTGCCAGAGTGAGACTTGTAAAATGACAGTTTTAAGATGTGCTGAAAATTCTCAGGGGCCCTGAACTGCCCCTCATCCAACTCCTATCCTTCTCCTTAGGCACTTCACCCACATCATCAACCTAAGTCCATTCTCTTCTCAAGTTCCCACCACTCCTGGTGTCTAGAGGAGCCACACTCTGCATTCCTATGTCTCTGTGCAAGCTGCTCCCTCTGCTTGTCTTCCTGTTCTCCAAGTCCACTGCTCAGACTAGAGTTGGCTTGGGCATTGCTTTCACCAAGCAGTCACCCCTATATATTGATTAATCTCCCCTCCCTTGTTCTCCCACAGCAATCCATGTTTCTTTCTGTCACAGCCTTCATCACACAGGGTTATCATCACCTGTTGTTTCTAGACAGAGGGCATCCTGAGAGTAAGAACAGTATCTGGGGCTTAGTAGATACTAAATTATGAACGGAGCAAAGCAATGTCTTTTATTTCTGTATCCCCAATAGCAATGGTATCATAAAAATTTCTGAATAAATCCTTAACTTATTTTCAGTATGACCATGTAGATGCTGCTGGGAAAACTCTTCTATATCCTTGTGTTTGGGGACACTTAGGATTATACCCATATACATGGCTTCCCTCAGGTGATGGCTGTCCTGTAAGCAGTGCTAATAATACTAGGCCAACAGGCCCCTGCCTATCAGTGTGTTTGGTCTCCCTGAGGCTTGCGCATGAACACAGGTGCTGTCTGGACCAGTGGCTGACGTGTAATTGAGCTGGGAAAGCTGCCTTCCTTTGGAATTGATTATTATTAATCTACCACCTGAGCTAGCAGGAAATGGAGCCCTTCGAGACAAGTTCTAGCTCAGGCCTGTCATCATCATCATCATCATCATCATCCTCATCACCGCACTTTCCCTGGGGCTCACAGAAACAAAACCTGTATGGCCAGTGTCACTGCTAGTAGCAGTGCTTTCCCTCTCTTAATTTGCACACACACATCCCACATACAGAAACAAGCCACAGTAGGTCTTTATCAAATAATGTATTCTCTTGCTTTTCCCATACAAGAGAAGGAACAGAAGAGCGGGTTTAATACCAGGGTGCACAAATATTCAATATTCACGTGTGTAGCTTGGTATATTTAGTTAAGTCACTGAGCAGAACACTACTGCTTGACCCACAGATATTCACCAAGAGGCACTCGCTGCGACCTGAAACAGGCTTGTTCAGCTTTTGAGGAAAAGATACACCTCGCCCAAGCAAAGTGAAGGCCATTTCCGTGCAGGTTCCTGGAATTGGATGTGGCTTTAATTTCACATCCACCTAGTTCCAGCCCCATCTTGACCCAACCCTCCAGCATGCTTTCTGCTCTGATTATCTGGCCCCAGTCGTCAAGGTTATCTGTGTCTTTTTAACCAGAGGCCAGGTTTCCCCTAGACCAAACCCCTCCTACAGCAGGCCCAATAAATGTATATATCCATGTACATATAGTATCATTTAACCAAGACAGATAGCCTGTGGTACAGGTGTTGACCCCTCTTCCCTAGCCGGAATTCCATGGAACTCTGAACAAGGCAGAGGTCCACTTACCCACCCTCCCCTGGCCCTCCTGTTCTCAAAATTCCCAAGGTCCAGGGGTAGCATGCAGGCTATGGCCATGCCAGGGCCAGAGGAGGAGAGTGTGGGCTGGTCAAAACAAGCCCAGACATACTCACGGGGTCCGTCAGCATGGCCCGGCAGTGGGAGGCCAGGGCCAAGAAGGCCAGCAGGTTGAACACAATTCCGTTGATGATGCTATACACGTAGTCTCGAGATGGAATCAGCATGACAAAGAGGACCACAAACTCCGCATAGAGGACCAGAAACCAGGTAACGATGGCACAGGCGATGCCACAGCCGTCACGGATAAACCACATGGTTCCCACAGGACCAGGGTAGGGAGGTGGGACACACTTCTCCGGCTGGAGGTATTCTGGTTTCCGCTCAATGTTTCGGAAGTGGTGGGTGGGGATAAGCATCATAAGCTATTCTGTCCATACTGGCATCTGAAAGAGAGGAAAGAACCCAGAAACTTGGTGTTGTCTTGTCATCAAGGAGGTTTGACAAAATCACGCCCAAAGTGAGTTGTGATTACCTACCTGTAAACCTCTATGTGCAAAGCCACCTAAACACCGTGCTCATTTAAAATGTGAGTTCTTCCCTGTTTCTGAGAGTTAATTTAGTCTTCTTGAAAGAGGACCTTCACGTGACAGATAATAAAAAGTGAAACTCTAAAGGGTAAATGCCTTGCCCAAGGTCAGCTAGAGCAGCAGCAGCAGACACAGGCTGCCAATTTATCTTTTTTTTTTTGAGACGGGGCAGGGTCTCACTCTGTCACTCAGGCTGGAGTACAATGGCACAATCTTGGGTCAGTGTAGCCTCGACCTCACACCTGAGGCTCAAGTGATCCTCCCACCCCAACCTCCTAAGTACCTGGAACTACTGGCATGCATGAGCATGCCTGGCTAATTTTTATACTTTTTTGTAGAGATGGAGTTTCACCATGTTACCCAGGCTGATCTCAAACTCCTGAGCTCAAGTGATCAGCCTATCTTGGCCTCCCAAAGTGTTGGGATTACAGGCATGAGCCACTGTGCCTGGCCCAGCCTGCCAATTTAGAGGTGGTACTAGAACCTAGGTCTCCTAGATCTACTGGGTAAACAATGCCTCAATAGATATGTTCAAATTTTGACTTAAGAGGCAAGGAGAGGCAGAGAGAAGGGGAGGAAGCTAAAGGATGTTTTCCTATATCCTTTAACCCCACCTGGCTGTGGGGTGCTTCATGTGCCTTTGTTTCCTCACCTGTGAAAACACCTACATTCCAGCCCTGGACACCTCCTCCAAGGATTGCTTGAGGGTTGAGGGAACTGGTGGAAGTGCTTGCAATGAATGATATAGATCCTAACACTCTGTACACCTTGCAGACTATGCACATGTATTCTAAAAAACACAACCATGCCTTCAGAAACAAGTGCTGAGCAAAGCACCCTTTCTCTCTAGAAGCTGCAATTCAAGTTTCTGGAGACAGCAATGAAATAACCAAGAATCGATGACTAATGTCTATCCACAGCATGTGCTACAAGACACAGAAAGCATAGATTTCCCTTCTCTTCTTCTTTATCTTAACCTCTCTGGGCTGCTGCATCACCAACCAGGTTTCTCAGTTAGAAATTGTGATGGCTCAAGTTCCCTACCAGATGTAGGTGCCATGGAAAAGCCACCTATACCACAGGCTATGACATAGGTAAGAACACCTCCGTCTTTTGAGAACTCAGGTAACTACACAACAGAAGAAATCACTCAAAAGCAGCACTGGCCATGTGTGCTTCCTGAAGACTATGGCTCTGAAGGGCAAAGGCAGGCTTTCAATGGTTGTATTGGATTCTCTATCCTTACCCTGACTTTCTAATTTTTCCTTTTCCTCTACTGCCCTCACCTCCAGCAAAGAAACCAAGCATCTGGATTGAATACAGTATTGTTATGAATAGTAAGGACATGTCCCAAAATCTAGGAGGGCAGACTAGTAACTACTATTCAAAATGACAGACATTCTAGAGTCGAAAGCTGTGCAGAACAGTAAGGAAGAATAAGGACAGGCCCACTCCTCCCAAGGTGGCAGAGAACTAATGGCTGAAGGGCAGTTAAATGTGTATCACATATTTGACCAAAGGAACATTGACTCAACAAATACAGTCACTATCACTGTGTTAGGGAACAAGAAGTCATGACGCATAGAGATAGAATGACCATCTCAAGTAGAGAAAAAGTCTTGGTTTCTGATGGTCCATCAAACAAATTTTTCTAAGAGAGCAATCCTGTGCTCTCCAGAGGACAGTGGCAAGTTGTCCTGCCAGAGACAACCTAAATGCATTAAAAGATGCAGGCCCACCTTCTGAAGCACCAAACAGGACAGTAGAAGATCAGAGATCAGCATGTCTGGGACCTGACCTGTGCCCAGCAAATTCTAAAATTACAAGCTCTATTCAAGGAAAACCAAACAAAAGAAAAGCTGATATCCTGCAATGATTCAAAAGCTGATTGAAGCTGAACATTCTGACAACCTCCAGTTGCAAGCATTCTTTTGGTTTTTCCTCCTGCCATACAGATTTATATTTATATCACCTATGTTCCATAATTACTATTTAAGCTTAACACCAATAATGTTTTGTTGCACCACAGCCACATCACTTGATTATATATTGTCTCTGGCTGCCTTTGTATTACAATGGCAAGAGTTGAGTAGCTAGCCCTAGATATTTACTCTCTGGCTTTTCATGGAAAAGTTTGCTGACACCTGGTTCCAAGCAGTTGTTGGCTATCAAATAAATAACAGATCCTGCTTCCCTGGCAGAACGGCTTAGTGTGATGGAGATGGTCAGTTACAACTCACACTATCCCATCCACATCTGTGGCAGCAAAACCTCTTGTCATCTGCAGCCGGCGGGCCATTTCCCCGTAACCTGTGTGCTCTATCAAACTGTTCTTTGATTATTATAAATGGTATGGTTTTCATAAATGGATAATCACTGAAAATCAATTTTAGAGCAATCCTTAGAGACTTCCAATGATTGAATTATATTCACAGAATATTCAGAGTGGTTGCATTCTATCCTTTGACAATTCCTCATTCTTGATTGTATGTATGACAATGATTTGATTAAACAAGAGTTATGTTTCATGTGCATGGTTTTGTTGAGGAATAAGCCGTTCCATGTAAGTAATTTCTCAGATAAATGTGACTTGTTTCCAAGCAGAAACACATTTTAACCACTTGGATGGTTAAGATGGAAATCTTAAAACAGAAAGAGAGAGAGAGAGAAGGAAGGAAAGAAGAAAGGAAGGAAGGAAAGAGGGAGGGAGGGAAGGAAAAGGTATTATAGCTGTTTGTGCCTTAAGCACAATAACCATCCATTTCTTCTAGAATGATTTAGAGTTATTACCAGGAACATCAACTACTGGAGTGTGTTAGGTAATGATGTCCTCAGGGCTACTGAAATTCACAGGGTCTCAGCCTCACATCAACTGGCTTGCTCAGACTGTAGTAATTGCCATTCTGGCATCTCTGTATATGATTCCTTGTCTTCCTCCTCCATTCCTGCCTACTCATTTCTGTGTCTACAGTCACCAATCATCCCCATATATCCTCTATTTACTACTGCTAATTGGCCGTAGGCTAGAAAAGTGAATAAACTAAGTCTTGTTAGATTTATTTGCAAAAGGGTAGTCGTTTTGGGTAATAGGCCTTCAGGGAACAACTGCTAGGCTCTTCACCATATAGTCTTTGAGGGGACTCCTCCCCTTGCCAGCCCAGTTGCTGGCACAGAGTAGCCACTTAATACATATGTTGATTAAATGGATGCATGAGCTTTGTGATCCCAGACCCACCTTTTAGAGGCATTGTCTGCTTACTTTCAGGACTGTGACCATATTCTGCATGGTGGAGATGTGCCAAGTGGAACCATGAGGTAAGTGGACAGACTCTTACTGAAGTAACCAGAATGTTCCATCCTCAAACAATGTGAGACCAAAGATTGTACAGAGGAGCTCTGTTTTCTCATCACCCTCACTGGTGAGCAAGAACCTGAGGTCTAGGAAAGGACCCAGCCAAATGTGTACCTGTCAGGGCCTGACACTAAGCCCTGATCTGAAAGGCACATTCCACACTTAAGAGTTTTAAAGTATCCCAATCGAAACCAAGAAAGGCATACTGCTATAAAAAGGTTGCTTAACCCCCAGACCTCCCAAAATCAACAGAAGTAGCTTTCAAATAAGAATTTGTTCCTTGAATTAGCCAACTGAAAATCTGAGAAATATGGCAAAAAACCCACCATGAAATAAACTGTATATGTTTCCTTTACCTTGCCCCAACAAAAACCAAAAAGGCAAATATAGACCCCCCTTTTCCTTTTCTATTTTGATTAGAGAAACCCCAATCCTTAGGGTTGAGCAGTAGACCTCTGTCAAGAACCCTCCTCCCAACAAGTGTCCTTATTTCCAAGGAGCGGGCAGAATTGGTTGCTCAGGACTCTGGAACAAGGCCCCCGAGGATGGGCCCCAAACTCCTAACACCACCTCTGCCAGCACATGCTTTCAGAGGGGGAGCCTCCTCTAGTTCCCCCTCCCTGTCCTCTTCAGCCTGGCCCCTTGCCCTGTTTGCTCTCTAAAGTCTCCTCTTTTTATTCAGTTCAACTCAAAAAGACATTCATGGAGCAGACACTAAATGCAAGGAGCTGTGCAGGGGGCTCACACATGAGGGATGTGTCGGACAATAATGTGTGTGTGCTGCCCTGCTCAGGCCCTGCCAGTCCCCTCCCCCAGCTCCCAACCTAATAACACTAGTCTTATTTGCTTTTCTCTACTAACCTGTAAGTCTCATTTTATTTAGCTCTGTAGCCTAGTGTTTGGTAAATGTGCTCAAATCAATAGTTCCTGAGTGACTGGTCACAAAAATCAAACAGACACACCCACAATAATGCTAACACATAGGTGGCTAATGAATAGCACCACAAAAGGGAAATAGTACCAAAAAACCTTAAACTCCAAAAGCAACAAAACCCCCAACAACCATAAGTGAAATACATAGGCTTTCTCATGGCAGGGAATTCTGAAGGGGTGGGCTCTGAGCAGGGCCGGAAGCCAGGTGACGCCTGCTGCTTATACAAAGATAAGGGGGGCTGGGTGGGCCTGGCAGGGAAAGTGATGGTATTAGTGGGGAAGGGGAGGGGCAGGATGTCCAGGGCTGTGTGCGTGCCTGTGGACACATGCAGGCTTTACAGGGAAGAGAGGAGGTGATTGGAGATGAGGCTTTATAGGGAAGAGAAAGTTGTGTTTTAGAAAGCCTTTAAATTTTACAATGAGATGAGATTTCATCCTGAAAGGTACCGGTGAACCATAAAGTTTCTGGGGAAAGTTGTGAGGGGATAGTATTCACGCTGTGGCAAGGCCACTCTGGAAGTGACAGGCAAGACAGATGAGAGGTCTGAGTTCGGAGGCCAACAAGTCCAGG